AAAATCAGGAATGCAGTTAGGAATTTCAGATTAGTGACTTTGTGCTATTGCTATAGGATGTAGTATTATTTTACTTCTCGTTTTTTCCTTCAGGGAAAGACTAAAGATTACATTGTAGGAAAAGAAAAATAGGAGCCATGTTTCGAAGACCTGTATTACAGGTAATCACTTTTCCATATTAGTGCGGAGATGTGTTATTTATCAGCCTTTGTGATCAGATTTATTTAGCGTTTTGATAGCAGAGTCAAAAGACCTTTGAGCCCACTCATTTTATGTGTACTCACTTGATGTGGAGGGTTGGGGACAGATTTTACCTGTGTAAATAATGTTCACTGAAAGAAAACAAAATTTTTCTGGTTTACTCACGTATATAATGGAAGTCCTTACTTTTTGAAACGTGTTAACTCGAATTTAGATCAGTTAGAGATCATTTAAAGTCGTTAGTGATCCAGAGGCTGTGAGAATCATTGTTTCAGCATCTTTCTATAAGGCATGTGGTTCCTTTTCTGACCACTTACCTCCTCTGTTGTCAGCTGCCCCCTACCCTATCTACCCTTACTGAGAACTGCTGAAGTCTCAACATCACCACAAATTTATGTCCAAAATTCTCTCTCATTCCACCCAACCTAACTGCTCATCTCTCCAGACACTAACCGGCCTAGGCTACCCCTTTTTCTTACCACATTTGGGTACCAGGGACTATCTCCTTTATAATCCTCCTCTCGTAGTCCCCATCCTGTTAAGACTAATGAAGAACCAATTCTTTCATAAAACCTGTTCTCATCTCCTGTCTACTAGAACCCCACAATATTGGAACCCCATTTTAACCTACACATATTTCAACATTTTTTGTGTGTGTGTGTTGAAATGTGAAACTTGAGTTACTACTGTCTTAATACTTGATACTACCGTATTAAGATAGCTTTAAAACAGTTAATACTACCGTATTAAGATAGCAGATAAAACAGTTAAAAGTGTAATTTAAAAAAATTATCCAGTTAAAAAATTCTTTCCCTCTTTCTTCTTCTCCATTAGCTCTTCTTTTTTGTGTGCCCAAAATGAAAAATATTATTCTGTAAGACTTGCAAGCCAGCCTAACTCATCTGATTACTCAAATTAGACATTTCTAGAATCATGACACATATACTAGTTAGCAGTTTGATTCTTTAGTTTGTTGCAACTCACATTTTTATCTTTTTACCCATCTACTTCCCCAAAACTTAGTGATAGGATTCCATAGCCAACAATATTCCAGGAATGGGTGTTCATTTGGTTGGTGCACATCTGCTTTTTACAGTAACAGTGCTACCATTTGACCCACATTTCTCTGATGTGACGGTTAGGTCTCTGAACTCTGAAACGAGTGTTGTGCCCAGTGATGTATACTCATATCTTGGCAGTAGCCTTTGAACAGAATGCCTTTGAGGAGACAGCAGAGGGCGTTGGGAAAAGCAGCAGCCTTGGTGTCAGGTTCTAGGCAAGACTTGCCACTTATTTTCTGTAGGTTACTTAATCTCTCTTAAATTCCTTTTTTTCATTTCTAAAATGAGGATAATTTTGCATAGATTTATTTTGGGGATTAACTGATAGGAGGTAAAACAGTTTGTATTGAGTAATAACAGGTGTTACTGTCATTGAGTGCTGCTGTTATGTGGCAGTGGCTCTCTTTCTCTGAAAAACTGATTTAGACAGTCAGTCATATCTTTATACTTTATCAAAGAACCAAATTTATCTTAGGCTTTTTTCTTTGGTTCATCGAAAACATGAATTTTTCCAATGTGTTTGATTTTCCTTTTTGTGTGTGACCACAGAAGCACCATAATCAGAAGGGTTACCACAAAAGAAACAGGATAGGACCATAAGTTAACTTTCTTGGTCATGCTTTCTGGTACCCGCTTTGTACCTTTGGGCTTCTGTAGTAGGCTGCCCTTAAGTATTGCTTGGTCCTTCTGGCGCTGTGTGATGGGAGCATATGGCAAGCATGTGTCTTCTGTGGCTGTGTGCTATAGGAGCTGCTGCCTAGATGATGATCGGACATGAACAGGTCTTCTGTTTGCATTTGCCTTTCCCCTCAATTTTGAAAAATTATAGCCATTTTAATCATTTGTTCCACTTCAGGTGTTTCATCAGTTCGTAAGACATGAGTCTGAAATAGCGAGCAATTTGGTTCTCGAAAGATGTAAGTAGTAGCTTATTTCCAAGTTTAAAGCATGTTATTTATAGCAGTGGGCCGATACTCTCTCGGTTGTGTTGTGAGGTGCCCTGGTTGGATTATAATCTGTTAGTCATCATGCCTTGGGCTTATGCTTGCTTCTCGTTCTTGGCCTTGCCCTATCCCTTCTTCCCTTATCAATCACTTCTAACTCTTGTCACTCTCCTGCCATAGAATTTCCTTGAATCATTTGGTTACTTAAGTTTCCCAAGGTTATGTGCTATTTGGCTGAAGGAGTGAAAGTTTGTGAAAGCTGTTGTTTCATAGACATATTCCCGTGTATTTATAAAGATTTTCAGATCTCAGATTTGTTCTTTTAAACGTTGCTTTTTAAAAGGTGTTTTAAAGAAGAATTTAAGATAAAATGAAGAGTTTAATGATTGTTTTGTGGGGCTCCTTTCACTGAGAATATATTCTTCTTTCCTGCCAGCCCTCCTTTTCCCTCCCAGGCTTCCTTTATTTGCCCCTTCAATTTATTTTCTGATTTTCTTGAACGTGGGTTTTGCTTAATGCTGAGATTGAAGTGGAACTAATATTTGTAGTGTTTCCTCTTTTAGACATTTCTCTCAGTCTCGTTTTATCTCCACATTGTGTTTCAGCTCTGAATCGTGTACAGCTACTTGGGAGAGTGGGTCAGGACCCTGTCATGAGACAGATAGAAGGGAAAAACCCAGTCACAATATTTTCTCTAGCAACAAATGAGATGTGGAAATCCGGAGAAAATGAAGCATACCAAATGGGTAAGTATAAAAGGCTGGGGTTTTACTTTCACCAGTAATAAATTGACATTGTTTACTGTCAATAATCTAGTTAGAGATAAGCTACTTTTTGAAAGGATCTACTCTACATTTGTTCTGTTCTCTTAGACACTGTGACAGCAGTTTTGTTGGGCATGTAGTCCTTTGGTATTTGTTTTGCCTGCTGGCATTTGTAACCATGTTTCCTGTTCTTGTGATTTAGGTGATGTCAGTCAAAAGACAACGTGGCACAGAATTTCAGTATTCCGACCAGGCCTCAGAGATGTGGCATATCAGTATGTGAAAAAGGGGTAAGTTGAGGAAGGAAGAATCTTAGAGTGTGAATGGTTTAAAAACTATAACAGGTGTTCTCGTGGAATGTGGAACTCCTTTGTTCCTGAGTACTACTAATGACTGTTAACTCGAGATATTTATTCAGTGCTTAGTACTACATGCGTAGTGCTTTGCTATGTATGACTAAATCGAAGGTGCATAAGACCTGGTTTAGTCTTCCAAGAATTTATAATTTAGGGAAGATGGGGTGTACGTAAATAGAAGCAGATGAGGCAAGAGGGAAGGTGAAGTGTGCTAAGTGCCACGTGGGCAGGACAGCGCAGGCTTTTAGATCCCATGTTGCCAGGGCCAGGGATCCTTGCGGTGGCGGGTGTCATGGGTCTTGTCCTCCACACGACGTTCTCAGCAGAGGAGCTGGAATATGTGAAGCCTGTCACAGTGAGGCATTGTGGTCATATTCCCAGCAGTTATTTCACATTTGACTATTTTCGATGGTTTCATAGTTCCTTTTTGAGATGCCTGGATTGATTATGTACGAGTGTCTTTTCCAAACCCACAGAACAAAAGGGTGTGTTTCACAGCAGTTGTATTCACAGTTAATGTAATTAGAAATGTGCTTGTTTTATAGGAATGAAACTCATTTCATGAAAAATAATTTCAGCAGTGATTAAGTTTCAATTTCTTTTCAATAATTGCATACCTTCATGTGTTTAAGATTGGGTTATCATTACAGTATTTTTTTTTTTAACTTCTTTGAGGACCACAGACAACTCAAGGTTGAAAACATGGCCCTTTTTACCTAGATTTGTCAAGCCTGTGTGTATATTTTGTTCTACTACTCTTAATTCTGAACTTTGAGAAACGGTAGCAAAAACGAGGTTACATATGATTGTACATGTCATCCTCAGTGTATACGCATACATTTAGCGTGTATATTTCTCTGATCTGACACTCTTTTGGGAAGCATATTAGAATCTCCAGACTAAAAACTAAATCTTTTTGATCTCAGGTCTCGAATTTACGTGGAAGGGAAAGTGGACTATGGTGAATACACGGACAAAAATAACGTGAGGCGACAAGCGACAACAATCATAGCTGGTAAGAAGCAATGATGGCCATTCTTTTCCCCCCTTCTTCGTAAGCTTGGCTGTGTTGTAAGTCTCTTCCCCTGGGGCTGTGGGATTGCTGATGAGATTGGAAGGCAGCTCACCAGGAGAATTCTGAGCGGGGTGTGCAGGCTTGTTAAGCGTTTCCACATGTACCTCCTCCTCTAGCAGATTATCTCTATACTCACAGTTTTAGCTCATAAGTAATGTTGAATAGAGTATAAATCGAACTGTCCATGCCAGTTATTATTGTTTGGAGTTAGAAAAACTTGAGTGTCTGCGAAGGACATGGCCTAACTAGGGAGAAGCATGTGCCAAGATAGTTACACTAACATGAATGGCATTAGACATTTGAGCAGATATTTTCAGAACCTTTGGTACTTAACATGATGCTTTTGCTTTAAATTTCTATTGTTCTCATTATGCAAAATACAAAATAACATAGAAAAGATAGACACACAAAGCCGAAAGAAGGTTAAGAAGCTATCCTGTAGGGCAGAGTTTGAAAATTCTATAAGAGTTTTGAAAACTGTACCCCTTTGGACATTTTTAGGTTGTAACATTTTTTTTTAAATATAAAATCATGTTGCTTTTATATTACTGGATCTAAATACTGTAGCATTTTGATACCAGTCATTTAAAAAAACCATATGAAGAAGCTCCTCATTTGGAAATTTTATAATACAGTCATGTATTGCATTACAACGTTTTGGCCAACAGTGGACCACGTATACAAACGTGGTCCCATCAGATTATAGTGAGGTCAAAAAATTCCTATTGCCTGCTGACGTCCTAGGCATCCTGCCATTGGGCACAACGCATAACTCACCTGCTTGTGGTGATGCTGGTGTGAACAAACCTGCGTTGCCAGCCATATAAAAAGTATAGCACATACAAGTTATGTGCAGTACGTAGTACTTGATAATAAATGACTGTTCCTGTTGTTTATATATTGTATTATATTTTTTATTATTATTTTAGAGACTACTTTTTCCTCCTTATAAAAAAAAATGCTATAAAACAGAATGCAGTCCACCCAGCAGCTCTTGATTGCATTATTATCTTGTGCTTGACTTAATCTCAGTACAGTTTTGTACTGTAGCGTGCTGTACAGGCTTGCTATAGCCTGTAGCCTTGGAGCAGTAGGCTGTACCATGTAGCCTAAGTGTGCAGCAGGCTCTGCCATCTAGGTGTGTGTAAGTGCACTCTGTGATGTTCATACAGTGATGCAGTCTAACAATACATTTCTCAGAATGAATCCCCATCATTAGCTGACCTTATTCTCTTTTCTCTGAACTTGTTTTTTCATTCCGTTTGCTCCTCAGAAGTGTACCTTAATAAACCGTAGAGTTAAGAATCTTTTATTATTCTGTTTATTATATTTGTAACAAAAATACATAAATAGAAATTTTAAAATATTTTTTAAATTCTGTGACAGGTGGTAAATGTTATGAGTCGTCTTGATTGGGTTATCATTACAGTTGTTTTTAGTACATAATTGACCAAAACACCTTCATTATATAAATATAAAAACTAAAATCCTGTTGGAAATGCATCTTTGAGTGGGATAGATGTTCCTTTTCCATTCTTCGAAAAATTGCTAACATAAGACAGTTGTTAAGCACTGATTCTGTTCTTTTGTTTGTTTTTGTGTATATAAACATTGAGAAGCCTTGTTTTTTCTAAAGTAGATGGGAATGAAAGAAATTTTATTATAGTAATGTCTCAATGTTTATGAACTTCTGAGATATGCCAAAATTAGATGTCAGTTAAAAAATTATTTCTAATTATGGAAAATGTTAAACTTACAAAAGTAGAGAGAAAATTTCAAAAAACTATCATTTAGTTTTAATAATTATCAACTGATGGCCAATAGTACTTCATCTATTTCCCAGCCACTGTTCTTCCACTTGGATTATTTTGAAGTGACTTTCAGACATTATGTTATTTCATCCATTATGTTAAATACTTCAGTAAGTATCTCTGAAAGATATGAATTCCTTTTTAAAACATAACTATAGTGCTGTCGTCACATTTAATGCTAAGAAATTATTATTAAAATATTTTTACCAGATATCACAATATTCAAATTTCCTTGATTGCTTCATAAATACAAGTGCAAACATTATATTCCATTGTTCACATGTATCTTAAGTCTCTCTTTTTTTTAACAAATTAATTTTTAACAGTTCTGGAGACTAGATGTCTGAGAACTTAGGTCCGTTTTCATCAGCAGATTTTCTTTTTATCTTTCTTTATTCCTTTGCTCCAGAGTTCATGTCTTAACCATTATACCATGTTAATAAATTCTAATTTGTTGTAAATAATAATTACAATGCATATTTTCTTACTGGTTTCTTTGAAAGTGTACTGACCTTGAAAACCAACGTTGGTCTCTTTCTACCCTCATTATGGGACCTTGGACAAAGTTCTTTCTTTCTGACCATTCTGCTTTCATGATTCTTGAGTGTCTTGAAATTTCCTGCATGCCCTGCTCTTCCTTTGGCTGTGTCTCCAGAGACATCTACCTATTCAAAAAATTTTTCCAAACCTCTCTATGGTATAGAACTACACCTATGATTTCAGTAGTGGAAATCCAAGATTTCTAATAAAATAATTGACATTTCTAAATCTCTGTTGATTATGTATTTATGAAGCATTTAATATTTTCAGATTCCACTATAAACCAAATGCGTGGCCAATCTTTAGGATATATGAATTGTTATGAACCTAGCCAAGAAGATGCATTTCAGATTATCTTGTCACTACTATATACTGGCATGGGTGATTGAGCAATTACTATAGTTTTATGGCTAATAGTAAGAGTGAATAAATCTTTAGTGACATTTGAATGGAAGGAAATAGAGTTTCATCCGTTGATCTGTTTTATAGGCCGTATTCCCTTCTAGGGATCCTGTCTCTAACCTAAAAGTAATCACCAGCAGGTGGCACTCTCGCCTTTACACAGTGATGCAATTCTAATTTCTGAAAAATAATCATTCTGCACCAGAATATTCTGTTTTTAGGAGACTAAAGTCATGAACAAATTTTTAGTCATTGTATAATAACCATTTTTGAATAATTCTAAAGTTCTGGAATCTGGATCTTTTGAAGTTATACAGGAAGTTCTACTTGATTCTGTTTCTTTGCTCATCCTAAACCATCTCCATCTGGGACAGCGTTTCCAGAGCGATGTCTGATGTTCTTAGATAAAAATGCCCTCTCTTGATGAGTAAGCATTTTCCAAAGAATGAATATATAAAAGTCATTCTGCTTTAAAATTAAAAAATAAAATGCCTTCTATGTGAGTGTTCAAACTTACTTAAAAACTTAAATCTGTCTTTGCTAATAAAGCCATATGTTGAACCCTGTCCTTCCTCCATGCCTCCAGCATGCGGAGTGTTCTGCCTTGGTCCTCTCTTGTGTGAGGACGTGCTGCCTGCTTTAACGGCGTCTGTCTGAGCATTGTAAACACTGAAATTTGTGACTAGTTCTTCTGTAGAAATTTATTGCTGAATATCCCACCTCTTCTGAATCGTTGACAAACAGCTGAAGTCCATCTTTTAGCTCCATTATGCCTATTGTATGTACCTCTCATGAACATAGCAAGAAGTTATTTAGTATTTTGAGAATTTGTCTAAAGTCTTTTTAATTAATAGCACTGAAATATGAATGTGTTAGAGAGGAATGATTAAATGGGATGGAGAAAGTTCTGAAAATAATGTTTATGCTTTGGCTTCTTTACAGATAACATTATATTTCTGAGTGACCAGACGAAAGAGAAGGCATAGAGTGGGCGATTCTTCTTTGACCAGTATTTGGTGCCATCTCATTTCCAAATCATGTATAGTCTTTATAGTTTCTACAGACAAGAATTAAAATATTTTATATAAAATGAGTGATAATATTTCTCCTGACTGTTGCTCCCCCCGCCCTCCCCTTTTTGTGCCATCAACCTTGGTAGCTTCTGTCGAACATGGCATTCACTAGTTGCTTATTCTTGTAGGGATGGTGTCTGTGTACAAGTATACAGAATGGGGAACTTTCAGACTCGTCTGTTACAGCAAAGGGGTACGTGTCCTTTGGGAAGACCCCTTGTTTTTTGGCGCACACTTCTATTATAGTATTGGTTCAGCCACTCAGTATTTATTGAGCATCACTGTATGTCAGGCATTTGTCCCACGGTTGTAAACATTGACTTTCTTATCTGTTTCCTCTAAAGACTCAAAGGCAAGGACTGCGTCTTCTCCGTGTACCTGCACCTTAACCAGCACTTGGCATATAATAGACACTCAGTAAATGTTTACAGATGCATGATCCCAATGGGATATTAAGCTTTGGCCCAGATCGAAGGGGGTTGCCGAGCAGTGGTTGGTATCTAACCTAAACAGCTTCAAGACTAACCTACCTTCTCCACATCTTTTGTTTTGGGACATTTTCACTAGTAGCATAATTATGAAATAGCATTTACTAGCAGTAAAGACCTAACATATAACGAGAGATGAAATACCATCTGCAGGTGGTGACACAGGGGTCTGTTTCCATATTGTCTGTCTTTCTAAGCCCCTGTTCTCTATCCTTTCAGTCCCATTCAGGTGAAGTCTCCTAAGCAACCTTTGACATTGCCTCCTTAGGTTAGAGACTCAGGTATAACATTTTTTTTTGTTTATTTTTCCACATGTTCTCTTGATGTATATATCCACAGAGATCATTGTATACAAACAATTATTACAAGATTTTGGAAATGACAGAGTACTAATAATTTACTAACCAGGATTATATAAAATAAACTCAGTTTTTCACCTTTTATTTCTTAAAGTTTGTATCACCCCTCCACAGGTCTGCCCGCTAGTTGTAGTCTTTTAGTGGTTGGCTGGTGTTGAGCGGGCTGTCCAGTTCCACTTGTAGCAGACCCTCATTCTCTCTGGGCCACTCAGACGCCAGCTTAGCCTTTGGCCCAGCCTGTGTTTGTGCCCTAGGCTACATGTCCTGTTCCTTCTGCCTGAGGATGTGGCGTGAACTGCAGCCAAGGTCACGCTGGGCTTGCACAGCATAAATCACATGCTGTGTTATAGACCGTTTTGGTTCTAAGGTACTTTCAGCACTCGAGCAGCTTGTACTTCCAGTGCAGTTTGGTTAAGGAAAGGTGGAGTTCTTCAGCTTTCTCTTCTCCTTGCCCAGGAATAGGAGAAAATTAATGGCCATTTCCTCATCTCGACCATCTTGTTCCTGCCCGCAGGGCCACTGACCACCATGTAAACTGCTCGCCGCTGTCTGGCGATGCGGTCCTCCTCTCTGTTACCTTCCTTAAGCAAAACTGCAAAGTAGACAGAAGTCATCTCTTGGGCAACTCATTTCTTTCCTCAGCAAAACTGCTTTTATACTCCTTAAAAGTTGTGAGAAGTTAGGCAGGTTAGAATTCCTGTTTCAACCGGGTGATGAATCTGTGCTTTGGGAAGGAAATGTGAACAGAACAGCTTCGACCAACCAAAAGCAATTCTGAGTCCAGGGCACAGGGCAGAGAAGTGTGTCCTGCAAGGTCTTGTGAGCCAGGGCCCCTCTCCAGACTCTCCTGGGGACTGCCCGATGGGCTCCGAGGCCGGGGCAGGGGAGCCCTCAGGTAATCAGCGTGGTGGCCTCGGCGGGTGCTCGGTATTGCAGACCCAGCTGGTCCACAACCCAGGCCGTGGGAGTGCAAACTCTGCCCTCCCCACCTGGGCTGCCCCGTGTGCTGCCCCAGCCTGGCCTGGTGCAGAGGAGACGTGTGGAATCTGACGGCAGTGACAGACGGTAGGGGTCTTCAGGTCCAAGTCTGTCCTGCAGTCTTCGTGTGACGGTGTCAAGGAACAAACCTGCAGAAAACTGCCCTGGGACTTTGATTTTGGAATTTTATGTTAAGCGGAAAGTTTGGGTATGATACGTAGAAAATTGGAAGAAAAAGTATCAAACAATGTATGGTGTCATCTCATTTTTGAAGAAGGTGTAATTAATATAAATCATGTGCTTAGACAAGTGTGGAAGGAGAAACATCAAACGTGATGATTCGATGGGAAGGTTATATGTGAGCTTCCTTATTTACACTTTTGTATATTCTAGTTTATTTTTTTTTAGCATCGAGTGGTATTGTTTTATAATAAGAAAAGTAAATAAAGCTTTTTTCATTTTGGGGAAAAAAAACCTTTCAATTGTTTCCAAGCCAGACCTGCCGTGCTCCCTGACCTTTAGCTAGTGCCGTGCGTGTACCGGAGGCGAGCCGGATCATCGTTCGTGTGTTTCTCCCCGCCATCCGCATCTTGGCATCTCATGCTTAGACGCTTCAGTCACCTCTTTTTTTTTTTTTTTTTCTTTTCTCTTTCTTTCATTCTCCTCTTGATACATGTGCAGTACCCAGAGCAACCAACTTTTAAGACCTGCACATATGAGATCCGCTGTTTGCTGCCAATGCAGTTCTCAGAGTCGTCCGTTTCTTAAATATCACCGGACGATAATCCGAAGACATCCAGGAATACAAAGGACATGCTCCTATGGCTGTTTTGGGGGTTCCTTGTCATTGCCAGCCGGTTACAGCCTAACCTTTGCAGCTCAGCAGGGAAAACTATAGTGGTTTCTCTTTGTTCCCTGAAGGTCATGCAGTTTTCAAAGGTCATGCAGTTTTCAGGAATTTGTCAGGCTCACTTTTTAGAGAATTGTCTTTTACTCAAACTACCTTTTGAACCCCGTCCAGCTCGGCCTCACACAGCGACATTTTAGGGCCTTATGAGAGTTGTCAGTTGGATTGCAGTGGGACGTTGACATGGAAATGAGGGAAGGACGACTTTGCCTATTTTTCATCAGGGTTTGCATTGCATGCCGTGAAGATGGGTGAGAGCAAGCAAATCACTGTGGAAAGTGAGAGAGCTCCCATGTCACTGGGTTGTAGAGAAACCTCGTAGGAGGTAACAGTGATCATACAAATGTGGGATGTTTATTGTTCGCTTGCCGTGTGCCAGGCCCTGAGCCCAGGGCTTTTCATCACGGTCTCATCTGTTACCCTAAGAAGAAGGTAGCATTAGCCCCACTTTGCAGGTGGGGAGGGAACCTGTCAAAGCCGTGGGCTTCTAAGAGGCGGCCTGGAGAGTGAACTGAGGGGCTGTGAAGTTTGCGTTTTGCTTCTGCCCACTGCCTGCTTCCCGCCGCCCTCCCACCCCCATTGGCCCTGGTACCCAGAACCCCCCGCTGCTCACTTGCCACTAGCATCCCATGCAGGGTGCGTCCGAATCACACGGGGAGTTTAATGCAGAATTGGTTGGGGGCAGAATTACGCGTGAGGGAGAAATACCTCCACCTCTTCATTCTCTCTGATTCTCACTCAGTCTGACGATTCTACAGGAAAGTAAGTCACAGTTAATTTCTCTGCCAAGCGGTGTCTCCAGTGTCTGTTCTTTTCATCGTCTCCTCCTTTGT